CGGGCTCCCCTTCCCTGTGCCAGGGCGGTCGGTGGAAGCTGCACCCGGGGATTTCCTGGGGTCACTCGGCGGGACTCGGGTCCCTTTTCTTTCCCGAGGCCTCCTTCGGGCTAACGAAGTCCTGCTGTTCCTCGGCAGCCTCCCTTGTTGTGTTTGGAAAAAGAAAGTGAAGAGAAAGTTCAGTGTGTTTTAATCTGCGTTTCAGAGAGATTGTGTTACTCTTCTCTTCCTTGGTGTGGAGGGGTTGAGACTTTAATACAGTACTGAGCGTGTAAGGGAGGAGATCGGGGTGTGTAATAGGGGAATAAGGTGAGGTACCCGTAAATGATGTGCAACCTCTGAGAGGAAGATGAGTGTCCCCCGCTTTGTGGCAGGGGAAGTTCCTGGTTGTTCCAGATTCTCTTCCTGAAACAGTGATTGAAAAGCAGTGGAAACAAATTTGTCTCCCTAAACACTTCCTTTTTTCTGACTGGTGAGTGCTTTCTCTCCGAGGAAGAGCTGTGGTAGTGCGGATGAAATGCTAGAAATAAAGTTCTGAACTAGGGCAAAGTAGAAAAGTGACAACAGTAGCAGCAAGTTAAAGGCCTGGAGCCCTAACTTCCCTTGGTTCCCTTAAAGTGGGCCTGAACTCCCCTTTATTGGAGTAATTTCCTTATCCTTCCTTCCCCTTAACCCTCGTGGGCAGCAAAAATGAGAGGATAGTTTACAAAAGTTGCATCATAGCTTTTCTCTTCTCCTGAAGCTGTAATCAAAAGCTGTGTTCTCCTTTGGCCTTCTCCGAATTGTAAGAAACAAAGAATGCTGAATTTTTGTGCTGATATTTGAAATAGTCATGCACATAAACTGCCCTTAGAGGCATGGGGGTTTGATTTTGGGGAGTTTATGGTTTATTTTCAACAAGTATGGGGAGATCCTTTTTTTTAATGCAGATTGGTCCCTCAGTTGGCAAAAAAAAAATGTACAGGCAAAACAAAGTGGCTGGAGAGACAGGACTTGAGGAAAAGGGGGGGTAGGGCGTTGGAAATGTAACAAAAGTTTAGGGAAATTTTTATCTCTTTCAAAATGAAACTGGACAAAAGTCTTGGTGCTGATTAAGTTCCATTATTAGTTCATTTCAAAGGAAAAGGTCCATTGTAGTATTGAGAATCAGACTTTTGGAAACCTGCAAACCAGCCTGTGCTGATGGATGGAGTTCAAGAATGTGCTTCTGGTCCCTGAAGGAAAAGCACAAACCGTGAACAGCGAGGGGGACGGTGATCCTTGCTCCAGAACAAAAGCACCTCGTTGCCTTCCGCGCTGCGATTCCTGTTCGCGGGAGTGTCCCTAAGCCCAGGAGCTTGCTGGGGCGGGGGACAGGGGATGTTTCCGTGGCCACAGACCTGGTAGCGCTTCCAGTTTCCGCCTCTCCTGCTGTGCTTGTGTCCCCGCGTTGCCTGGATGCGGCGCCTCCTCCTTGTCTCTCCGTGGGTGCTGGGCCGGTGGCGGCTGCCCCGGGCACCCGTGGCCCTGCGGCTCCGGGCGCGGACGGAGCCGGCTTTGATCTCGTGTTACCGCAGCCTCGGTCGCTGCAGGGAAAAGTAGAGCTGAGGTCAAGGTAGCAGGGGGCATGCAAAGTGCTTTAGAGATGCGAGTTTTTATTAAGAAAAACCCTTGTCTATCGAACACTTTGTTAAGCCGTGCGTTGAATATTTTTATCCAGTTCTCAGCTGTCACCTGGGTAAGGGTGAGAACTTTAAAGTCTGGCAACAGCTGTCTGTTTGAGCTGGAAAAGGTTATAACATGGTGGTCTTCCCTAATGCTTCAAAATCAGCATTCAAATATAAATTACTTTTTTTTGCAGGTAAAATACACTTTTGACAGTGAAAGTTAAATTTAATTGCTTTCTGCCAAGCTTTAAAAAATTGTCCAGAACATGTCAGATTTTTTAGACATGTTAATTAATGCCCTATTTAAGAATAGCTCTAACTTAGTCTTTCAGGTTCTTATGAGAAGTATTTCTAAATCAATTAAGCAATCTCTGCTTTTAAGTTGCAGTGGGACCAATAGTAGTAACTTTATGTGTAGCGTGGTGTTTTTTGGTTTGTGGGTTTGGTGGGGCTTTTTGTTGTGTTTTGTGTGTTTTGGTTTTGTTGGGGTTTTTTGAAAGATGTAGCTTTTTGGAGGGGGAGAATGTTTCGTTCAAGAATAGTTTTATGTTACTGAAAATCTTGCTATTTACTGTATAAACTGTGTTCTCGTGCAGTGCAGTCCTGAAGGAATTTGCTATCAAACTTAAAATGGAGTCTCACAGCAATCTACTCCAGATGTTTTAGTAAGATAAGACTTCTCTCTACTTAATACATGTGGTTTTTTTACATAACCATTTCTTTAGGCATTCTCCTATTCTTTGTTTATTTGTGTATTTTTAAATCATGCGTGCAATTAACTTTGCTCCTCACTGGAACAGTTTTATCACTGTCCTTGCTGTGTGCTTCTGCAAGTCCAGAGAGAACCAGGACTACTTTCTAAAATGTCTGCTGCTGATGCTGTGTGAGCAGAGTGTGTCTCAAGCACAGTTCTGTCTGTGTGCTACTGCTGTTTGTGCACCTATCAGTACATAACAGTGTATTTATCAGTACATAAAAGTGTGTTTACCAAAAGACAAGTTAAGAACATTTCTGGCAGAATTGTACTTGGGTTCCAGGTCTGATAAAGCTTGGTTAGCTCTGCAAGACCCACTGCTGTTCTGTGTAGGAAGGAAAAAGAAACCTCCTGTTCCTCTCTCCATAATTGCAGTCGTGTTGCTTTGAAGTTTGTTTCTTCCTGTAAAGTTTCATATTGGGCACTGCGCTTTCCAGAGACCGGAAGCAGGAACACTGCCCTGGCAGAAATGGGATCAGAGTTCAGTAAACAGCGTGGAAGCCAATAGTATTGTTCTGGAGGGAGGGGCTGCTGCCTTCAGGGCTGCAGGCAGCGATGCAATTGCTGCTGCTGAGCAGGAGCGTGAGGGGGATCTCTGCAATTGTGTGTGCCTCGTTACACTGGCTCACTTCTTTCAGTCTGCTACTGGTGCTGCTAGAGGCTCTGAAGTACCCTAGTTAAAATTACTCTTCTTCAGTTTTTACTATTTCAATATGTTAATAAATCAAATCAGAATCTCCATCTTGTTTGTTTTTTTTTTTTTTTTTTTCTTTTCCCCATTTGGAAACATGTCTAGGGAAAAAATACTGGAAAAGTGAAAGGAAAATGAGTGTAGTGTAGCAAGGGAATTTCCCTCTTTCCCCTCATGAAAGGATATAAGCAAATTCTAAGTAGAAATTCTTGGTTTTGCCCAAGGCCCTCTGAGTGCTTGGGGAAAACTTGACTTCATGTTCAGGCCTCCAGAGAGTTGAAGCACTTACCTGATGAGGCATAAATTGCACACTGTGGAGATAAAACTCACTAATTAAAAAGCTAATACTTCTTAAAGAGTTCCACAGTCTTTAGAGTTCTAATCATATGGGATGCTAATATTTCTGTTACCAGTGTGTAATAAATGATGGCTTTCTACTTGAGAATTGGAAATTTCAGCTATTTGAATCTTGATACAAGCTACATCAAACTATTAAACTTAGTTATCCCTGATATGAAAATGTAAAATACACTCCTTAAACTATTACAAAACTAAATTAAGGTTATTTTCATCTTAATGGGATTATTTTTTAAATAAGAACTTGACTATGCATTTTGCAGACTTTTTTTACTACTATTTTTGAGTTCTTAGCAAAAAAAAAACAACAAAATGAGGCTGCTGAAATTTCTGAGGTGCTGCTTTAGGGTGCTGCAGTATCCACTGAGTGCTTGCTTGGGGTTTTTTGAGTTTGTTTTGTTGTTTTTTTGAGGGGGAGATGGTGATGGGTTTAATCCTCATATTATACTGAGGCATACGTGAGTTACATTTTTTCTGACTTCTGTATGTAGACATTTGTGGACATACATTTGATTTGCAGTGAGTATATACTTAAAATCTCTAACAATGTTCTGTGGTCCAAACCATATTCTTGCTGCCTGTTACACTGATTATTTTGAAACTGCTGTTAAAATAGAATGGAAGTAGTTAAAATAGAGGCTCTGGCTCTGTAAGTCTTGATCATGTTTTACACACGAGTTTCAATTAATTGCTCAGTGTTGTGATGGATTTGTAAACAGTAGTAATGGAGCACTGGAAACTCTGAGGTGTTAATTTGTCGCGGTTTTGGTTTGTTGTTTGTTTTTGTTTTGGTTTGTAACTATTTTTATTTGGTCTCATTGATTCTAATAGATTGGATTTTGAATGACTCTTATTTTCTGTTTTACTTGGATACCATTTCAGCTTGAGAAAATAAACCTTTAATACTTAGAACTACACTCAGTAACTAGTGAAATTACCAAAGACTTTGGTACACTGAATTAGGACCACAGATAAGGTGAAAATAAAAAAGAAAGTGACAGATGGAGAATTACTGTCTCAACATTCTGAGGCATTCAAGTTCTTCAGTACTTC